AGGGCAGCAGGCCACTGTTGCTGACAACTGGGGTACCAGACATAGTCCACACTGGTGCCTATCTCAATACGGCAACCAAATTGAAAGCTTAAAGAATATTCTCCTCTAAATACATCCTGATTTATAAAATACATGTCTCTCCTCTCAAAACAGGTAAAACGTGTAAGTGCATTCTGCATGAAATGTTTACGGACCATGATCATTCTCATTCTACATATTCCATGTAAATATGAGACTGCACAGGGCATGCATAGCTATGTAACACCAGTCTCCATAACTTAGGCATGGATGTACATTCATCTATTTGTAGAGTATAAATACCGATCTTTGAGTTACATATTCTGAACATAAACATGGGTGCTCTTTTCTCTTTAAACTGATTCAGTACCAACAACAACAAAAAAATATGTAGGCTTGATCAATGCATCTAAATAAGTCTGCCCTTTAATAAAAAAAAAAATGAAATGAATAATTTGTTCCTTTCAAAAATAGTTACTTATTAAAGAAATACTTGAATGGTTAACCCGCTCTTCAAAAATAATTAGGGCTTCTCTTCACCAGGCAGGGAAGTCACTGACTATCTTGGAAATTAAGACACCTTTGTCAAATTACTTCTGTAATAAAATTTTCAATCAAACCAAAGTCACAATGAACATGTGTTTCTCTGGTTATAGGCTTGCATTCCCTAGCACTTACCTCCAAAATGTGATGCTATTTTGAGCAAAACAATTTCTAAATCATTTCTTAGACGAGATAACTTTTTATATGCTTTCGTCCCCCGTCCCCCCTGAAAAACAACCCATTAAATATATTTTCAAAGTAGAAGAGACTTGGTGTGAGAGCTCACCAGATTTAATCTGTTGCTACATTTGTTACCAAATAAGCCATAATTATTGCTATTGTTGTTAGTGTTATTATATTAGATCATAGATATTTGAGCTGTAAGAAACTTCAAAAGATACTTCATAGTCTGCTAAACCAAAAATGCCCTTCTTCAACCAAACATTTAATGTCAAATTAGGTAAGTGATTTGCCCAGGGTTATTACATAGCTATAAAAAGCATACGGAGGGGCACCTGGGTGGCTCAGTCAGCTAAGCATCCTACTCTTGGTTTGGTTTTGGCTCAGGTCATGATCTCAGAGTCATGAGACTGAGTCCCACATTGGACTTCGCAGTCACGCCTGGGTAGCTCAGTCGGTTATGCATCTGCCTTCAGCTCAGGTCGTGATCCCAGGATCCTGGGATCGAGTCCCACATTAGGCTCCCTACTCAGCGAAGAGTCTGCTTCTCCCTCTCTCTCTGCCCCTCCTCTGCTCCTGCTCTCTCTCTCTCTTGCTCTCTAAAATAAAATAAAATAAAGGACTTCACAGTCAGGAGGAGTCTGCTTGTCCCTCTCCCTCTGCTCCTCCCCCTGCTTGTGTGCTCTCTCTCTAAAATAAATAAATAAAATCTTCGTTAAAAAAGCATATGGATTGGGGCGCCTGGGTGGCTCAGTCATTAAGCGTCTGCCTTCGGCTCAGGTCATGATCCCAGGGTCCTGGGATCGAACCCCACATCGGGCTCCCTGCTCAGCGGGAAGCCTGCTTCTCCCTCTCCCCCTCCCCCTGCTTGTGTTTCCTCTCTCGCTATGTCTCTCTCTGTCAAATAAATAAATAAAATCTTTAAAAAAAAAAAAAAGCATATGGATTTTTGACCCCCACCCTTATTGGAAAGATTGTTCTAGAGTTGGCCTTTAGTCCTCAAGGTCTAGTATTTTGCTGAATAATTTCTCGATCAGAAGTTTCTCCTCATGACACAGATTCCCCTTCCTGGTTAAAACTTTCCATGCGCCTGAGTAGTTTTACCTAGAAAGTTGACCTTAGAGGCTACTGGTGGACAAAGGGAACAACAGAAGGAAGTATTGTACATTATCGTTCTAGCTGGAGGTTTTCCTTTGTGGGTCTATTCTAGCACAGCTGAGGGGTCTTAAACCTGAGAGTCAGAAGAGGAAGACATGATGTAATTAGACTAGAGTCTGACCACAGACTTACACAGACACACACACCTGCTAAATCAAGAGTCTACACTAATGGTCTCGATGCACATTTTAGATTAAGCAATCTCAGGTTTTTCCCTGTCTCATGAGGAAGGTAAGACTACATAACTTCTAAGACTGCTTCCAGGCTTATGACTCAAGTCTTAGACCACAAACAGTTGGTCTCCTGACCTTATATTTCACTAGGCTGTTCAGTTTGAGTCCACCATTAAGGCCCTGTAACTAGGCTCGTATTTGCTTGTTCATAACTCAAGTAAATTCCTACCCACCCTCATTACACCTACCTACTTCATCAATTTTTATAATTTACCAAGTCTTTGGTGGCATTGAGTTTATAAACGAGGAGTGCATAATGCAGTTTAATTGTTTCCTATAGCAATACTTTTTCCACTCCAGCATAATGACTTTTATTTTTCGTATCATGTTTTTCCTGACCAAAATAACAGTAAAAACCATAGACCTTTGAACATGTGGTATATTAAATGTACTTAATAAACTATAAATCTAAAAATAATTTCTACTTCCATTCATATGACTAATCTCACATGAAATTAAGTCTTTGGGTTGAGGATGTGTGGTTGTCGTGTGTTTGTGTCATTAGGGAAAAGGGATTCAAGGTGACGGATATAAAACAGGAGAGAGCAAGGCCAACTACCCATAGCACCTGGAATGTGGTAAGAACTCCATAATTATTTATTGATGAATGAATAAATGACTGAACAAACAGACCACTGAAAGGCTGACTCCAGATTAAATATTTAGCCCCTTTCCATCTGCCATAATTTAAAATTGAAATTACGGAAGATCTAGATTCCGGAGAGACTTTACATTTTTTCTTAGAAATCGCCCTCATGTAACACAGTGTTGGGCGTTGTGTCTGGTGGTCAATAAGTACTGAAGAATAGCAATAATAAGAGGAATAGCAAGAGCAGTGCTAGACACTAAACACTTGAATTATTTTATGTCATCTGTCCCTCATATAACACTGTAAAGTTGGCACAGCATGTTGCACCCATAATGCAGATGAATGAAATGGTGGACAAGTTTAAATAACTGGCCAATTTCACAAAACCAGGGAATTATAGAACCAGAACTCAAACCAAGGTGTGTCTTGCCCAAAGTCCTTGCTTTAAAAAATGAATAAGTGCATGACAAATTGATTTCAACCATACTCTGTTTTGATATTGAACAACACGGAAACGGCTGGGTAGAGGAAGTTTAATTTAGTCAGTGGCCAACTCTATAAAGTGGCTTATACCAAATACTCAAAGGACCCCAAAGTATCACAATGGCCTCAGAGAGTAACAAGAAATTCCGAGAAAATGAATCAGCAGGCAAAGCTACTATAATCAGATGGAAGAAAGTTTAAGAGAAACACACAGGCATCAGGGCACCAGTATCTCCACCTGGTTAACAGTCCCCAGTAGAAGGCAGTATACCTAAGGCATTCATTTTTTAATAATTACATTAAAATTCTTTAAGCGGAACACTATGTTGAACATAAGCTCATCCTCCTCTAACAAAGATTCTTGGCATTCAGCAACAACTTAGAGCCATCACATTGCTCAATTACACTGTCTTGCAGATGGACATATGAGGCAGTTAAGACAGGGCTCCTGAAGAGAATGCTGGATAAGTCAGCTCTTATCAGGGAAGTTTTTCTTTCTCTCTCTTTTTCTTTCTTCCCTTTCTTCCTTTTCTTTCTTCCTTCCTCCCTCTCTTTTCTTTCTCTCTCTCTCTTTCCTTCCCCTTCCCTCCCTCCTGATTTCTTTCTTTTTCAATCTCTTCATATGTTAAATCATAATTACAAACTATTTTTGGCAATTTATACATTTCAAAGCCAATATTTTTACAAAGATGGTATATTTCACAAAGTACCACATTGGCGCAATCGATACTGTCATTTGTATAATTAGTCACCATAATTAGTTGACTAAATAACTCTGAAAGGGAGCTATTATTGTTAATCCCATTTTGTACATGAGGAAATAAATTCAATGTGTTTAAGGGCTTGTAAATAACAAAAGTGGGGCAAGAACTGAAGTGTAAATACGTATTATTTAACAACAGGCTGTGACTTCATTATATCAATTGATTTGAGGACTAGCTTAATCCTATTTTTTATAATCCTGAGCAATCTATGGGTGTCCAGTCTTTGAGGAAGCTAGGTGGGTGGGTATAGCAGCATGCCAAATGCATTTGTTCCTGGAAGACATTTTGGGGAGTTTTAAAAGTCATCAGACTTTCTCTGTCTTCCAATATTAGCACCTATTAAAGAGCAGTAAAACTTTTGGGTACCGAAATAATCCCCAGAGAAGAATTAAGCCTACTGCTAACTTATATATATATATATATATATATATATATATATATATAACACTTATATATATTAGTGTTAAACTCTTTAATGTAAAGGACACAATTTAAAGATCATTGCAAGGGCAATTTGGCAATGTTCTTTAGACAAGGGGAAACTGGGAATATAAAAACTAAAAGGAAAGAAAGAAACAGAAGAAAGAATCATTTAGAGGCTTACCTCATTCTCTTTTGATCAAACCCTGTCTCTCAAATCCTCCCTCCCCACCCTCATTACAGTTGAGCTATCACCTCCATATGGGGACTTCAGACTCCACTCCCTCATCTTCAACGTACAATGGAAGTCAAATGTCCCCTGCATTTATTAACTGACAAACATAGTAAGTCTCTAAGTAGCCATGGAGACTAAAGATCTCCTTGGCATTCTCGATGTATATATTTTACATTTCAGCTTCCCAAAAATATCTCGCATGATATGTGAACCACAAAATTACTGTGCCATTTGCAAACTGTCTGGTTATGCATTTTTTTTTATTCCAACCAATGCTAATGTTCTTAAGATACCACATATGACTACCCTCTTAAGGCATTTGAATGTGAAATTATCATCCACAATACCATCATAAGAGAGGAATAAAGACAGATTACCTGGGGTTAAGAGGATGACTGACATAGTGATGAGTGAGCATACAACTAAAATCACCAGCAGGGCAATAGCAATCCCCTTCCAGTTTCTCTGTGGAGGGCTGTTACTTCCCAGTTCCTACCGAGATAGAAAAAAAAAGGTTCATAATTACACATGCTCCAAAAGAAATGTATTCATAAAGGATGATTCAATGCATGGCACAATCACAGTTTGAAAGCTGATTAGGATTGTTTTCCTCTTTGGTAGCTCACTTAATTATTCAAAGGTGCATATATTATAAATGGCTATCTTTTGGGGGGTAATCTTATGTCTCTAAGAGATAAACCAACAGAGCTTTATGCCTGCTGTCCAAAATGTAGACGGCATTAAAATGTATTGACTATAAACACTAGGACAATAGCCAAAATACTCTGCAACATAATTATGGAAATAAAGTGCGCCCACTTACATTTTTTCTTACTACAATAGAACCTACAATAAAGATTTAGATACCAGTATTTCCCAAGCACTGTGGACTACTTTTCTAACTGGATAGTGGGGAAAAAGATTTGAGATGGGAAAAGCATTCAAAATGCCCCAAGCTGCAGAGCAGGGCACATCTGTCAACACAACAGGTCCTTTTCAAACAGCTCCCCCACCACTCATAAAAATCAACAGGATATAGTAACTAAATTAAATGAGTGCTTCTATATCAATGGTTGATAGCATCCTCTCCCTAGGCAGCATGCCTAATATTGGCAAGGAGATAAGATTGATGGGGGAGGAGAGATTTGAACATCTCTCACAATATATAAAGCTTTTCTTTTTCAGATGATCTGTGTTCTACCCTGTTGACTAGAAATGTGTGAGCATAATTCACCAAAGCAAAGCAAACACCACACTGAATTAAAATGAATGCCAGATTTTCTTTGCAATGAAGCTTATAAAACACTGAATCTCTCATTTCTTTCTTCCCATCTCCCAGTTTCTTTTCCTCCCTCCCAACAAAGCCTTTTTTATTCAAAACTAGCTAAGTGATTTGAAGACAAATGAAACAAAACATATAGTTATCCAGCTCACTATGTGTGTACAAATCACTCAACAAGAGCAGTCCTGCTTTAAACAAAGATAAATAGAACAGCAAACATTTAATAAATTATAAATTGGTTCCTGTGACTCACAGATTAAAACCGTGAGCAAATTTTCATGTAGTGATGTTGGCATTCAATTCTGCCATAAACACTTTGGACATAAAGAACTAGACCCTAAATAAATGCAAGAAGAGAACGTGCATGGGAGGTATTTTGTTCTTGTTTTTCCCCTCTGCGATCAACTGCTTTGTCTTTCAGTCTAATGGACCAAATCCAGCAGAGGTCAATTCTACTCTTTTTAACATGACTGACTTCATACCTCTTTTCCACACTTATTAATGCTCGTTTTTCAACACCTCTATTTCTATTGCATTTTGGTTAGAATCTCCATAGTTGATGTGCACAAGTCCACTTTTACACAGATATTTACAGTTTATTACTATAAATGTATTTTCTTTTCCTTATGATTTTCTTAACATTCTTTTCTCAAGCTTACTTTATTGTAAGAATACAGTATATAACACACATAACAAAATATGTATCAATTAACTCTTTATTGTTACTGGTAAGGTTTCTGGTCAACAGTAGGCTATAAGTAGTTATGTTTTGGGGAATCAAAAATTATACATGGGCTTGTAACTATGCTGGGGTTGGTGCCCCTAACCACCACATTGTTCAAGGGTCAAATGTATAAGCTAATAATAACGGACATCTCACTCCAATAAAAGAATCAAGAGTAAATTATAATTTTAAATCTACTGATTCTGATCTTGATTCCCTGGCACTTGATATGAAGCCTCACCTTAGCAGACTCTAAACCTAGGGCAAGTGATGGACCAGTAAGTGATAGAGACATAGGTTTATTGGGAAAACTTACAGGGAATCCAGGAATGGCCAACTGGACAAGTATCCACTGCTGGGATCTACATGCACCAAGTTTTTATACCACAGCAACTAACCTTAGCAACTATATGTTGCCTCTCCTTCCCTGCATGGCCAGAGCCCTAGGAAGATCAAGGCCTGCCATGTGGACACTGTTACAAAGGAGATGCTCCAGGCTGGCCAGCCCCAGAGCCTCTGACCTTGAACACTGAACAACACATTCTTCTGTACATTCTGCTTGATGGGAATACAGAAGGAGGATAGGATCTCTATATTCTCAAACAGTGATTAATAGGGGCATTCAGGGTATGCTTCCACAAATTAGTTATCCAGCATGTACCATACACTTGGACACAAGGCAAATTATTAAAGAAATGACTTGAGTGTACTTTCCAGTTTTTGAATAGGATGTAGCCATGTAATATCTACCAAATGTTGTCTAACCATAATAATGCCGTAGATATCTTACTATGTGTTTGGTATTATACTGAATACTTTATATTCATAATCTCTCGTAATCCTCATAAAAGTCAGGTGAGATTACTTTTATTTTGATAGATTTGCAGATGACAAAAATGGGATTTAGAGAGATTAATTAAAAATCCACTTACTGTTAATAAGTGGGAGATCTCAGGGGCCAGTCCATAAACTCTGGCTCTTAACCACTTTAATATGGTGTCCTAAAGATAAATATGTCAAGGATAAATGCATGAATCGATAAATAAATCGATGAATCAAAGAACGATTTGGACCCCAACATAATAATAGTTGTACTTTATTACCTTTTATTTGACAAAATTCATGATTAAAGAAAAGCTATCCTGAATTCTGTAATGTTTTCAAATAAATTTATATTTCCCCACCCATGGCGGACTGGGAAAATACACCATTTTTAAAATGGTAAAACACATTTTTTTTTTAAAGATTTTATTTATTTATTTGAGACAGAGAGAATGAGAGTGAGAGAGCACATGAGAGGGGGGAGGGTCAGAGGCAGAAGCAGGCTCCCTGCCGAGCAGGGAGCCCCATGCGGGACTCGATCCAGGGACTCCAGGATCATGACCTGAGCCGAAGGCAGTCGCTTAACCAACTGAGCCACCCAGGCGCCCCGGTAAAACACATTTGAGTAAAAAAAAATTTTCTGTTCATAAAGTGATGCACCTAAGAATGTGTGGCTCCTTTAAGATGACTCATCAATGCCCAAGGCATCTACAAATCTGTTTAGGAACTGCAGACTTCGATTCTATTACCATGGCAATATTTCTAAAGCATAGTTTCACTTCTGTCACTTTATTCCACAAAGTCCTTTAATGTTCCTATACTAACTAAAGAATCAAATGCAAATGAGATAATTTAGCATAACAATTGTCTATAGCCAAGCTCCAGTTTCCTCATCCAGCTTGATCCCTTTTGAAAAAGAACACAACCCCAAACCGCTCTGATTACCATTTGGCACACACGCCTCAGATGCTTCAACCTTCAAATCACCTTCTTTTCTAATTCTTCCCCATCCAATCCCTTTAAAATGCCTCCACTTATAGGAACTGTCAATCATTCAACATCCTGCTCTAATGGCTCTCCTCTTGGGAATTTCACCTAATTATGCAAGCCAAATATGATTTCCCTTCCTCTGAAAAAAAAAAAAAAATGCCTAAAATACATTGTACCAATAGGCTGAATCCACTTCAACTACTTAAGAGTTGTGAGATTGCAAAGATGTATTTTTCTGAGCCTCAGATTTTTTGTTTTATCTGAACAAATGGAATAATAATGTAATTATTTTTAAATGTAAGTATTAAAACTAATTATTGGGACAAAACTTTTAGGTAAAGTTCACATTAAATGAACTGCTTGGAATGTTCTTCCTCAACACACTTAATATAGATCACTCTCTACATTCAAGTCTCCTCTCAAATGCTCCTTCCTGACCATCCTCTCTGAAATAATATTTCATATCCCTTCTATTCTCTCACTCCCCTTTCTTTTTCTTCATAGCATTATCATTTTAGGTATATCACATGTCATATTTAATCATGTATCTATAATAACATATTAAGCTAGTTAAGAATATATATTAAGGTGTTTAAATGTTCATTCTATCCTTCTCAGCTCTCCAGAATAGAAACTTCATGGTGTCATTAATGTAGTTCATCTTGTTCTCTGCTACAACCCTAGCATTGTGAATGGTGTTTGGCACATACTAGGTATGCCGTAGATAATTTTAAAATGAATGAATGAATTATAGTGTTAGGAGTTAGTTGGACAGTAATCAAGGCCAGGGTCCCCAACAAGAAAATATGGAGTCAGGACAGCTAAAATAAACTGCACCCACATCCTGTTTTGGAGCTTAGACAGGACCACACTAGTATTCTGCTCTGCAGCCTTTACAGAGATGACTTCTGCAAAACGTCTAAACTAAGAAAATTAACTATAAAAACATTTGTCAATATCATTAGCAAGGGGTAGTTAAGACCTAAGCCCCAGATGTCAGAAAAAAAAGGACCATCAGCACATGGACATTAACCTAATAGGTAGACAGATATGTGACCAAAGCCCTGATTGGCAAGACTCAGCATACCCTGATTGCTTAAGATAGTTTTCCAAAAGAGCTCATAAAAACCCCTACACTTTGAAACTCCAGAGGCAACCCACTTGGGCCCCCCTCCCTCTCCGGGAGCTTTGTACTCTTGCTCAATAAACTTTGATTTGATGCCCACCACTCTTCCTCTTGTCTACCACTTCATTCTTCGAAGCGGCGTGACCAAGAACCACGGGCACTAAGGGGACACAAAATCCTGTAACAATAGCAGCTATGATAAAGATAATGATGATGGTAGTGGTGGTGGTGGTTCTGATGATAATGCTTAAAGCCATATATAAAAAGCCATCATATCCCTGTCAAAGTTATTATCTGTTTAAAGTAAGAATGACATCTTAGACAACTTTACTCAGACCACTTAACAATCTCTGGTTCTTTTAATACGTGCTTAGAAAATAATTGCCCAATTAATTAAGTAGTATAAATGGAAACCCAAAAGGGGACAGGAATATAGCACCATTAGTCAAATACACATTAATAGCAAACTTATAAAATGTACCTACTTGCTAAAGATCAATTTGACTGCAATTAATTTTAGGCTCATTTATCTGATGCTAGCTTTCCAA